ATATATATATATATATATATCAGGAAGAAATTTTGGGGAAAATATGACAAAGTGGAAAACATTTTTCTTGTGCCGTGTTTTGTCCTTTAGTACTTCATCGGACTAAATTGATGTTTACGTTGATGCCACCTCACGTGCAACTGCACATGCGTACTTTTAACCGATTCAGCCACAGAGCACTTCCGTTTTGGCAAAGATAAAATTGCTGATTATAAATACACGCATTCGACGACCGTTCAGGCGAAATGACGGTTCCATTTAGGATACAGATTCGATTCCTGTCGGAGGACGCGTGCTTTCTGTGAAATTTCTCAAATATTCACAACAGTCAATAAAATTAATACTGTTTAATTTAAAAAAATAAAGTATTTACTCAAATAAGTTGTATCCATATAAATAGCGTATAAAGAGAAAATATATTAAAATATCTGTTGGATTTAATCCATTACATATAATATATATATATATATATATATATATATATATATATATATATATGTGTGTGTGTGTGTGTGTGTGTGTGTGTGTGTGTGTGTGTGTGTGTGCGCGCGTGTGGGTGTGTGTTTGTGTATATAAAGATGATGTAAATTGGAAAATTTATTAACGACGCGTTTCGCCGCCAGAGTCGGCTCTCTTTGGCTTCCTCAAATTAGGAGATTTAATAACCGATTTTTCGAATATTCAGAGGGTGCACAGGTTCGAATCCTGCCGGAGAAAACATATTTTTCTATAATAAAATTTCTCGAATATTCAGGCGAGTAGATGAAAATAAATGAACATAAAAGAATCTGTATGAGTGATAAATAAAAATCCATTCCTTTAGAAAATTATTTATGGTTCCGAAACTGCGCAAATATGAAAAATTGAAGGAATCTGTGACGAGAGACTTCGCTTAAAGTCACTGTTCAAACTTTGTTTGGTCGACAATGATTGAGTCGAATAAGGCACCTTGGATCAAATGACGCTTCCCTCTGCCCAGGGGGATGCAGGTTCGTATCCTGCCAGAGAGTGCATTTTTTTCTATAATTTTTCTCGAATTTTCAGGCCGGTAGACGAAAGTAAATAAATAATAGATAATGATAATAATAATTAATAGATAAACGGAGCGTCTACTTAAATATGAGTCTCCTATAAAAATAATATTAAAGTGATAATAACTTGCATATATTGATACACATTTCTAACATAGATACAATCATTTTTATATATTGGTTAAGAGCTGACCGTAGCTTTATTCAACAGGTGTAGTTTCAAGACGTAATTTTGTTTCACACGCAACTCAAATGTATGACATATTTTGAATGGCAATATTTTTTATGTGTCTTTTTATGTTATTTGTGTGAGTGTGTCTCCTCCATTGCAACCCCTTCCTTGTACGGTCAGTTATTCCCACATGTTAATGTTATCAAAATATCCTTTAAAGTGTCAGCAAATCAAAAGTAGGGTCGTTCTTTTATGAATGAATACACACTTTAGACGAAAGTTAGCGAAAAGTGGTATGGAAATCCAAAGAGAATACTTTGATGACTGACGTAACAGCATGTCCTTGTAACCCTGCCATAACACCATATTCTTATCTTCAATCCAATGTATTAACCACTTTCTTTTTTTTTCTCATTTTCTACGGCTTATCAACCCTTTACAGGTTATTTAAAGCCAGAAAATATTTTTAGATTGTAAGAATTTTTGTGTGGTGGGAGGAGATAATGAAAGTTTAATGATAAAAGTCTTACAAATTAACCCATAACTGGGGGGAGGAGAAGAGGTGGATTCATACCTAATCAGAATTTGATAAATAAACGGTATATATATATATATATATATATATATATATATATATATATAAAGAGGGGATTAATTCTATATAACACTCACTATGCAAACTCACTTTATGGTCATAGTTGTTTTATATTGCAGAGAATTAAATTAATCTAAAAGACAATCCTGTATCAGTATTTAATTGATTAATTAATTAATTTTTACGGCTTATCAACCCTTTGCAGTTTATTTAAAATCACAATTTTTTTAGATTATACAATTACTAATTAACCCATAACTGGAGAGAAGAGGTGGTTTCATGCCTTTTCCCGAAGGTATTTCCGCGTAAGCGAATATAGCAAACCCAACGGGAATTTGAACTTTCCGATTAAAATTCCGAGTCATTATATATTACACCATCCGTACGTCCAAGTTTAAAGTACTTAGTATTCTCAGGTGGTCACTCATTTAGGTACTGACCAAGCTCGACTTTGCTTAACGTCAATGATCGTACAGAAACCAGTGTTTCAATATGATGTGGCGTAAGCATAATCTTTTACTGTATTTAGCACAGCTTAGCAAATATTTAAAAAGAAAAAGAAAGCCAGAAAAAAATATGGAAGAGCAAAAGGGTAAGATTAGATAAAAACCAGGAATTAAAAACATTTGAGAAAGAAAAAATAAAAAAAATAGGTGTTCCTCGGGTGTTTCTGTATGGAGAGCTAAAATGAAAAAAAAATTTTTTTTCAATTTATTTTATTCCTATAAAGTTTCCTACTCGAACGACACATTTACAGGATGTTGGACCAAGGATAGTGAATAATACAAACACGGAAATGATTTTGAAAAGAGTAAAAACCACCTTGTGGTACAGAAAAAGAAAAAAATAGGGTGGGGGAGAGAAAGAGAATGAGCAAAAAAGTAAAAGAGATCAAATAAACAGAAACAAGGAATTTGAATTCGATATTTTAGTTCCATCCTTAATGTAAAGCGATCTTTGAAATTCAGCTCCGAGAAAAAGGACACGAGCTGATATTTCATTCGTATTTCAAAAACTGGCGGAAATCTGTTGAGAGATTCACCATGACAACCTTTTCTCTTTTCTGGACTTTAATGAATCAAACTCTCCAGAAGAATTATATTTTTCTTTGAGTGAGTGAGCGTGTTTGGCGATACATCGATGTTTGGAATCTGAGAAATGCAGATTCTTCAACATATGGAGGATTCTCCAATCGAAAGTCATTGTACAACTTATCATATTAAACATCGGAAAATAGCATAAAAATATGAAACTCTTTACTCTTTCTCTCTCAATACTATATATATATATATATATATATATATATATATATATATATATTTGGTTGGATAGATGGGAGTTTGTGACCCTGGGTTTCACGCTTTAGCGATCGTCAGACAAACACAAGCTCTATCTCTGATATTGAGCGCTTTCTAATAAGTACCGCGCATATAATATATAAATAATTATACATATATATATTTATTTATATTTGTATACACTTTTGATATATATATATACATATATATATATATATATATATATATATATATATATATATATATATATATATATATATATATATATATATATATAAAAGTGCAACATATATGCAATCTGACGATTGCATATAGCATGAAACAGACTGTCGCCTCTAAGTGTTGACTTTATGCTCACTTTTATATTTACACACGCTCTATCTCTGATATTGAGCACTTTATCCCATAAATATAGCATATATATTAAGATATATATATATATATATATATATATATATATATATATATATTTTATATATATATATATATATATATTTTATTTTTATTTTTATTTTCGGCCTTTGCTAACCGAACGCTCCTCGGTGGCCAAATCGGTTAAAGGCACGTCAAGCTAAATGCGATACAGGTTCGAATCCTGTCGGAGGATGAATATTTTCTGTGGAAATTTCTCGGACATTCAGGCCGGTAAATGTTGTTTAATACTGTTTATTATAAACAGGACATTTACTTAAATATTTGTATATATAAAAAGAATGTATAAACAAAAATGTCTTAATATATATTTACAATAATATATATATATATATATTTATATATATCCTCCACCACTGATTCTTTCAAGTTTTCAGATTTACTTATATGTGTGTGTTCCATTAAAAACGACAAACAAGTTACTGCAGTTGTGTTTTTTTATTCAGTTAATCTTGTGTTCTTATAAATTCTTCTTTTCTGGACCTAAACTAAGTATAAGTTATCTTTGATAATGGCTAAACGTACGTCCGAAAGCGCTCGAACATATGAAGACTTTCTACATGACCAGAAAAGAAGAAAATTATAAGAAGAAAAGAAAATTTCATAAAAAGCGAACTACAGTACCTAATCAGTCGTTTTTAATGAAACTAGTATAAAAGAGTAAAAGGAAAATTCCTGATGTTATCATTCTGGAGGGAGACGATCCTAGCGTGCGACACTTTTGGAAAGTGCCTGAAAACCACACCACGGGTTGACCTAAGCATTGACAGTGAAATTGGGTAGACAATACACTTGGGGATGGTCGATAGCTCTGCTAGCACGAAGTCACAAGTCATCGTGACCGAGGGTTTGTGTGTGCGGACGTTGTTCACATTGTTAATCATGCTAGATAACACGCTATCTCCCAGAAACTGTAACTAAGGTCTGCTCAACATAGTTGAAGTATAAACCACAGGTTGGCTCTGAGGGTGTTGAGCAAACACAAATGTGCCTGAGCGAGCGTCTGCAATAGGGATTGTCTAGATGCCCTAGTTGATGAGTATCTTCGAATAGGAGTGACCGGCTATTATTCTCTCTCTCTCTCTCTATCTATCTATCTATCTATCTATATATATATATATATATATATATGGACGTGTGTAAAATGTAGAAACAATTATATAAATCTGTGAAATGACGACATGAATAAAGACAAAAGGAAAACTTTACTTTACCAAGGCGTTTTGTCCGCTCATTTTTTATTCGTTTTCTACGTCTTATAACCCTTTACAGGTTATTTGAAGCCAGAAAATGTTTTTAAATTGTAAGAATTTTTTCTCAAGATAATAATAGTTTAGTGATACAAATCCTACTAATTAACCAATAGGTGGAGGAAGAAGAGGTGGTTTCATGCCTTTCCTAAAGGTATTTGCACGTAAATGAATATAACGAACACAACTTCCGAGCCATTATCCACTCCCCCATCCGCATAGCCTGGTATTCCCAAGAGGTTACCCATCGTGGGACTGACCAGGCTCGACGTTGCTTAACTTCGGTGATCGAACAGGAACCCATGCTTCAATGTGATGTGGCCGTAAGCCTCCCCCGATGGACCATATCAAGGTAAATCTGTAGGTCTTATGTTACTCACTTAATAAGTGCAGCATTCTTTAGATCGGACTTGCAAAAAAATAACTTACTTTGAGAGCAAGTCCTTGAGAGGGCCGTTATCAAATTTTGCCAAAATATTAATCTGAGCCACGGATTTTTCTAATATATTTGTTCCTAAAAGAAACCCTCCTTTCCCAAGCCAACATGCATGACCATACTTTTATTTTGAATTAAAAGAAAACGGTTAAATGGAAACCTATTATTTAAAATAATAAAGAAATTAAAATAAAAAATAGAATTTTGCATTAATATATATATATATATATGAAGTAAATAAATATATATTTATAAATAAATAAGAAAAATAGAACAATAATAACATTTAGTCACTTTCATTTATTAACCAGTAAATTACATCAATTAGCATCCTCCATACTTTATCTTGGCTTTCACAGTTAGACTTAAGAATATCGTTTAAAATTTTAGAATTTATAAACCCAATGATAATTTTACTTCTGTTTATAAATACATTTTGCAAAATCAAGCCTTTACCTTGATAAAGTCCATCATAAGACGAAACACGTTGTTAAAAAATCCTTTGGTTTTATTCATATAATTACACACACACACATATATATATATATATATATATATAGTCACACACTGACTGTTTCGTTGTATCACTGCTCATCAGTGCGACAAGACATCCGATCGCTTTCAGCCGGGATCGAAACCCGGCTGATTTGGGAACCGTCAGAGATTCTACCCCTAAGCTATACTCGAACGGTAGAGATGAAGGTGAATTTTTGCGTATTTCTATTTAAATAAACACGCCAGTGTCTCAGAGGTCTAAATCTGCAAGAAGAGTTTTGCATTATGAGCAGTAGTAGTCACCGTTTACAAATTATATATGCAGAGAGAGAGAGAGAGAGAGAGAGAGAGAGAGAGAGAGAGAGAGAGAGAGAGAGAGAGATTAGTGTATGTGTGTGCGTGTGCGTGTGTCTGTGGGTGTCTGTGTTGTTGTTGTTGAGATACAAATGCAAGGCGGGGATGAAAATTTCCTGGTTTGATTTAGAATTATTTTCCATCCTACAACCCGTTTCCCACAGACGACACGTTGAAAGTCCCTCGCTGCTCCATCTCTATTTTTATGGAAATTGCTCAGACGAACAAAATTCCGTAGTTCCATCAGTTTTATCCTTCACGGCTAAGACCCGCCATGCCCCGCCCATGGTAGCGAACCACCCTCATTCCTTTCGTATTCCATAGGTGAGATGTAACTTCCACCCGAGCAGTTTCTTCCCACGAACTGCTGCTCTGTGGAACCGAATCTCAATAGGGTGCTTTCCCGTCCGTTAGGGTGGCTAGCCAATCCATGTCACAGACATCTGTTCAGGCCCAGAGAACGCTTCTTTCATCAGTGAGAAAACCCTTTCTGTCGTTCATCAGTTGGGTCAGCTGCTAAGAAAGTTGGTTCACTGTGTCGTACCAGACAATCTTTGTCTACCATTCGTTCAAGCCTTGAATATTTCTTCCACTTGTGGTTCGCTGCTCTTGCCATATATCTAGAGATCCGTGATAAAATCCGAATAAGAATCAGCAATATTATTGTCCTGACCTGGCATTTCGGCTTCAGTTACTCTCCCACCGTCATAAAGTTACCTCGGTGCCTTTTCTATAAAAAAAAAGAAAAAGTTTTATCCTAATTGTTCTGATGAACTCTTCGCTATGGTAACTAGACTTTACGAATTTAAGCACAGGTCTGGTCAAATTACAGTTGTCTTGGCTATAAGCAACCGTAAGTTCTATGCTAACAGTTTCTTTTCTCGCCTTTGTGGAACTTTCTTCCGGCTCCATGATTTCAAATCAACTTTAATCTTCAAAAATTTAAATGTAATCTCAATCGTTGTCTAATATTTCCCTGATTATTCTTCTATTGTTTTCGCTCGTTCATGATGTCTCTCTTTTCTAATTCTTTCACACCTAGTAAGCTCTTGTGTCTTTGTGGCTTTACTGAATTGCTTGGGATGAATTCGATTAAAAAATATATACAGTCTTAACCTGTTCAAATCTAGGGTAAACTGTTATCTTCCCCACGTATCTCCATAAACTGTATCTCTTACTCTGTAAACCTCTAGCTCGAGTGGCCCCCGGGCCTTGTAAAGGGTAAACATCACCGTAAAAAACAAATCGAAAATGCCTAATTAATCTAAAAAGAATATGGACAGGAAATGTGTAATAAATGGTTAAAAATAAAAGAGAAATCGATCGATCAATATATCGATGATATAATAAATTCACTAATGAAAAGTAAAACATTGAGGTAAAAAATTTCGGTTTGCTATTGTTTCCAAATATTCAGGTCAAGGGGTGGCGAGTGAAATATGAACGACGCATATTGACCAACAGCGACAGTAAACAAAATGTCACAAACTGGGTTGAAATATTTTAATTTAATGTTGTTATGGATTTCGGTTCAAAATTAAAGTGAGTGAAATGTCAGTGGCGCGAAGTCCTCACTGTCAAAAAACAATAGTAGACAAAAGGCATTTGGTTAGAATTGGTCAGTTTCCTTGGTAAAAGCTTTGTTGTAACTTTATATCTTACGTCGTCAGTTACCTTAAAACAGGGAATAATTATTATATACATAATCAGAAAATAATTCTGATCACAGCAAAGAAAAGACGAGACTGGATAGTGAAGACCGATATAAAATTCGAAATGAAATCTTCCCAGAATATTACCTCTTCTTACACAGTCAAGACAGACAAAGTTCAGGAAAATGTCTTTGGCGAATTTATAGCTGAGGGAAGCAGCACAGATAAAAATACTAAAATCTTACTTTTCTAACTGATGACTGGTATTACTCGTTGTCTCTCTCAAATTATAGAAGAATAAAAGTTTATAAATTTAACTAAAAGAGTCATGGATAATTGTATTTATCAATCCGACAGATTTTTATCATTTTGTTGTAGAAGTGTTTGAGACAATACGAATTTGCTTTACAGAAAGCTTTAATGTAAGCTTTAACTCGGTACTTACATAGTCCCCCGCCCCTGAGATATGAAACAATGTCCAGTTTGATGTGGAAGCTGAGCGAGTACGCGCGGGTCAATAGTCAAAACTTTACCCAGCATGCACAACCGCGGGATCGGGTACAATTCTTGTCTGTTTCTCTCTGCCAAGTCTCCGTCCGTAGACAGAGCTCCGACTGAATCACGTTCTGCTCGAAGACAGAGGTCTTGACACTCGCGAGCCAGACCGCGGACTGCCCGACTGCGACGAACTGTTATTTACCAGTCTCCCCACTCCGGACTAGATGCGACGCAAGGTCAAGTTTACCATGGGGAACCCGAGCTTTTCCACCCGGGCCAGTGGTCAAAATTTAACCAGCCCCCGCCAGAGAGCTCGAATGAGTCATCCTCCGCCCTAAGACAGATGTCTTGTCAATCTTTGCCTTTTCTTGTCTTGTCGCGAACCATAGACAGACTCCGACGAACTCTGCATATAATCAGAGTTCTCCTGAACATATGTGTTCAGGAGAGATCCATTAATTGGGGAGATGGATCATACCACATTCTCCCTTGCCTTATTATTAAAGAGAGAAGTCCCTGAATCAAGCATCAAACATCCTTTGCAGTCTGCGGGTCCGTGGCGGATTGCCAGGAGAATGACGAGGTGCTTCCTCTTTCTCGTTAGAACTGGATTTAATCCTTCTGCGTTTTTGTAATCTTCTACGAATGGCTTTCTCGTCCTCCGAAGTCTCGGTAGGTGGGTGGTTTCTGTTTCTTCAAAGTTAGTTGAAGTGTCCCGAGGGCAGCCCTCGCTTAGGCTTGCAGGTCCCGATTCATCCCCTGCTAGATCCAAGTCCCTAAGTGAAACTGTGTCTTTCCATCCATCAGGGTATTGGACACGCGCATACTAGGGGGTTGGCGTCTAGAAGCTCCACTTGATCCTTCAGTGGTTCGTTCATATTCAGTCACGTATCTCTTTTTTTTACGTATTCCGGTTCGTAAACTGAAAATTGACCACGTAATAACGGGGGGGTCGGGTTTTCAGAAGAGACTGCTGTATATCCTTATCTGTTTTCCTCCCAAACCGAAGGCAGAGAGTTCAACAAGCTGAGTATTGTCAAACCCAGGGGTTTGATGAACTCAGTATTTATCCGAGTCCTCTTAAAAAGGCAGCATGTGGCACAAGGCCAGGTTTGATGAACTCTGCATATCAGTAGAGTTCTACAGAATATATGTGTTTAGGGCAGATTCATTAATGTCGGATCCTACCAGACACTTAAACGTTATTTTCATCGGATAACCGTATTTGAGTAGACGCTCCCTTTATTTATTTTCGTCTACCGAGAAAAATGCACTCTCCGGCAGGATTCGAACCTATTTTTGTTCGTACCATAGACCAACTCAATCGAGGAGTGTGTCGCCGATCAAAGTCGAATAGTGCTCAGAGAGCACATCTTTTTTTTTAATACGCTGGTTTCTAAGCTTCATCTCCTTTTTTGTCCCAGCGTTCTAACACTATGTCTTAATTAGTTTGGGTAGAAGAGACCTTGTTTTGACATTGTTTCATATATGTAGCTAGAATATCATAGGTAGTATTATTACCCACCAACCATCTGTGTGTCGTTCGATACTTGAGTCCATTTTTTTTCATGGTAGGGACGCTCCAGTCAACCTTCTTGTAGGAAACAGGTGGAATCTTTCATGGGGTGCTGTGTTAATGGCGATGCATAGCAGCTTTTTTAATTGCATGCAGGGCTTCTGGGAGTAATTAATTCCTAATTCTCTATAGCTACCCCTTTATCAGCAGCTGCTAATTGAACAGTTTCCCCAAATTATTCCATTACACCTCTCGCACTGGCCATTACCTTAAGGGTTATATAGGAGTTGTTCTACTTACGGCTACTCCTTGCTCTTGTAGAAATCGCCGTACGTATTCGGACATAAATGAATTATTGTACGAATATTTGCAAATA